CTCACTGACTTGATAATACTGAAACATTTGGGAATAGACTGCACTTTTTTTCTTCTCTTTTTTAAATTTTAGCAAAACATTTATTGGTACAGTTAAGGGAATAGACTGCATTTAACCATGATATCTTATCTTAAATGTCCTATTGGCTTGTTTGTTGATATTTTATTTGGGAGTTTTATCGATATTAATTTGATAATAACCGACGTGTAACATTTACAAATATGGTTTATACTAAAAATGATGTAATAAAATTGATAGTATTTCATTGACATTAATAAGATATTGATCTGTAGTTTTATTTTATATAATCTAATTAGATATTATCAGTTATCTGTTGTTATAACTAACATGTAACCACAGCCCCTCAAAGGCTTATGGTCACAGAATGTCATCAACTGACTGTTGCTAGAGCACCTAGGATGACCAGGCTGCTCCACATTTGTCATCTGCCCAGTCATGTATCACAGACACAGTGTTCTTGCACAAAAGAGCACTCAATCCTGTGAGTTATTTTCAAGGCTCAGCTTGCATCATGTGTGCTAACACTCCATTGGCCAAGGCAAGTCACACAGCCAATCTTAGAGTCGGAATCGGAGGGCATAACAAAGTTACACAGCAAAGTCTGTGGATACAGTTAAGTGTTGCTATAGTTTGGATCTGGAGTGTGCCCCAAAAGGCCCATGTGTTAACAGCTGGGTCCCTAGATGTGTGTTGCTTGGAGGTGGTAGAACCTTTAGGCAGTGGGGCCCAGTGGGAATAAATTAGGCAATCAAGGGTGTGTCCCTAAAAAGTGTATCAGGAACCTGGCCCCTTTCAACTGACTGTGAAATTTCCATGACTGTGAGCCAAAATAAACTTTCCACCTTTTTAAGTAGTCTCAGGATATTTTTCCTCTTTCTTTTCTTTTTGTTCATTTGTTTTTTGTTTCGTGGTGCTGGAGATTAAACCAAGGTCTTCAGACTTGCTAGGCAAGGGCTGTACCACTGAACTGCACCCCCCAACCCTGCTTATCTCAGGTATTTTGTTAGTTATGGTAAACTGACCAATACAGATGTGAAGCAATTGCGGCCATTTTTACAAACAATCTCAACTTTTCTCTTACCCACAATTCTTTACATCATTCTCACATGTAAAATGAGCAATCCCATCCCAGAAACTTCTAAAATCTGAAACATGATACATATTTCAGACTTGAAATTAAAGATCTCATGATATCCTTCATAAGGTTTGGCTGTGGCTACTCATGATCCAGATATAGAAATTGAAGATCAAATAGCTTCCCTCTACATATCTAGTAAAAGTGAGCGAAACAGGGCCAGGTAATTGCAAAAGCACTCTCATTCAAAGAATGTAGGAATGAGCTGGGATGAGGCAGGAGGATGGCTATGAGTTGGAGGCCAGCCTAGGCTATATAGTGAGTTCAAGGCCAGCCTGGACTACACAGCGAGACCCAGTCTCAAAAAAAAAAGAATGGAAGGCACATACAGTTATTTGCCCATAGCAATCCCAAAATCCCACTGGCAAAGTGATGCCAGACCTGGGGACGCAAAGTGTTCTGTGCGTAGGCTCCAGTTCTGTGTCTTGGGAGTGTGAAGTATCTACTACTACATAAAAATATGAGCACAAATTTAGTGACTTCAAACTACACCCATTTATTATGTGTTTCTATGGGTGAAGAGTGTAGGTGTGACTTAGCTAGGTCCTCTGCTTCAGAATCTCTCACAAACCAGCATTCAAGGTGTTGGCCAGGGCTAGGGTCTCATCCGAGGCATGACTGGGCAAGGATTCACTTCCAAGTGCATGCGGTTGTTGGCAAGATTCAGTTGCTTGTGGATTATTGGATGAAAGCCTCAGTTCTTTGATGGAAATTGGCAAGAAGCTGACTTCACCTCCTTAACATCTTATGCATCTCTCTGTTAGGGCAGCTTGCTTCGTCAAAGCCAGAAAGCAAGTTATTAGGCTGCCAAAAATGTGGAAGTTATAATATTGTAGAACTGAATCATAAAAGTGACACCCTTTCACCTTTGCCATATCGTATATAGGAGGGGATTGTACAAAGTTGTGAGCACCAGAAGGCAGGGGTCACTGCAGGGCACATTAATTTCTCTGCCACGCTGAAAGCAGCACCCCAGACCATTATTTTCCTTGGCTCTCGGTTTCACCCTCTTGCATCTTCACATTTGTTGCCCTCCTAGAACACTTCTAAAGAGAATACTGAAAAATCTGAGGTTTTTTGTTTTTGTTTTCGGTACTTGGCATTGAACCCAGGTCTTTGCATCTACATCCCCAGTGCCATCACCCACCCTTTTATTTTGAAGTTTGAGACAGGGTCTCACCAAATTGCTAGATTACCTAGGCTAGACTTGCACTTGAGATCCTCCTGCCTCCAAATCTCAGAATGCTAGGGTTACAGGCATGTACCACAACTGGAAAAATATGCCTTCTGAGCACCTTCCTCAACCTGCTTGCTGCCCATAAAAAGTCAGGGGCCCATAGTCTTTTATATTTAGTCCCTTTAAATACAGATTAATACCACTTGCATTAGTCCAGCTTTCTAAAGTTTTGTGGTTTTTAATGTCTGGAGTTCATTCTATGTACCAGAAGCTACATCCATAATTATTGAGCTCTCTCCCTCTAGTTTTAATCTCTAATACCCTAGATTGTTATACAGCTGTGGGACAATCTCATGAGTCCTAAAATGCATTTTAACCTTTCAGAGGTTATAGGAAACAGGAACTGGAGATGCCACTCAGTGATAGAGCATGTGTTTAGCATGCATGAGGTTCTGGGTTCAATCTTCAGCACTAAAACCAAAACCAACCAACCAAATGACAACAAAAAACCAGAGGTCATAGCAAAGTGTCTCATAGCCCTTGATTTTATTTTTACTTAAAGCCAGGTCTTCATTTGATAATCTTACACTGACTTAACGGGTTGGAGATGAAATATTGTTTCCAATATAGAACCTTTATATTTCCTTTAAATTCTACTTGAACTCTGACTAGTTCTTTTCTGAGTAATAGCCAGCTGACATTTTCAACATTCTGCCCAGAAATCTCTTTTCTCAAGGCCAAATGTTCATTTGCTATCTTCCAAGCTACCTCAGGAAGTAACATGGGTTGTTATTTTTTCCGGTCTCCTCAGTTTCCTTGCAGTTTTTCAGCCTCCTATGATAGTTTTTTGCACCAGTCTCCATCTGCAGCCCAGTTCCAGTATCACATTTTAGGTTTTTCTTTTGGCACCAATTTCTGTATCAGTTATCTATTACTGTGCAATAAGTCACTTCAGCCTGGTACCTTAAAACAATACTTAGCTCATGACGAGGCTGGTGACTTAGGCTGGACTCAGTTGGATTGCACGATCTTGGTCTCCTATGGGCTCATTCACAAGTTTGAGACAGGCAGCTACAATGTGGTTGATCCTGGAAGGCTTTGCTCAAGCACAAACTTTCTTGTCTTCCTCCCACCCCACCCTCAACTCCTCAGTGCTAGGGATGGAACACAGGACCTTGTACATTCCCAGGCATGTGCACATTTCCAGGCATAGGCACAAAATTTTTCTGACAGAAGTAGTAAGCAATGTGAGAACAATCCTAATTGTGTAAGTGCTTTGCATGGTTTTGTTTTGCAGTATTGGGGATTAAACTCAGTGCCTTTGCACTGAGCTACCTCTAGCTCTTTTTTTTTTTTTTTTTTTATTTTGAGATAAGGTCTCACTAAGTCACTCAGGTGAGGCTCAAACTTGCGATCCTCTTGCCCCAGTCTCCAGAGTGCTAGGATTATAACACCCAGCTCATGTGCTTCTCTCTCTCTTTTTTTTTTGGTACCAGAGACCAAACTCAGGACCTTGCGCTTGCCAGGTTCCTAAGTCATTTTCAAGGCCCTGTTTACAGCACATTTGTGACAAACTCATTGGCTAAAGCAAGCCACATGGCAGAGCCCGGAGAGGAATAACACAATAAAAAAAACCCATGGCAAGGCCTGTGGTGATAGAGACAAGTGAAGATCCGGGTTACCCTTCTGCAACCTAACACAGGGATCAAGGTTTTATTTGCTTCATAAAAATCACTTGAAGTATTTCTTCCTTGCCAGTGTTCTTCAATGGATTATGTAGCACTGGAATTAACTGCTCTGTGAAGATTTGGCAGATTCTCCACCTAACCTGCCTTTTTTACAGGATAGTTCTTTGATAATCTTTTCTATTTCCTTTATGAAAATTAGTCTCTCTAGGGGCCAGGAATGTAGCTCAGTGGCACAGCACCTGCCTGACAAACTCAAGGCCCTAAGTTCGATTCCCAGTAGCCTGCCCCTCCTAAAAAAAAGAAAAAAAAATAGTCTAAAGTTTCTATTGCAATCACTTTAGTAAATAGCATTTTCCTCTTTGTTCATTTCATCTGTTTTCAAATTCATTTGCATAGAGTTGTGCATAATAGTCCCTAAAATTAAAATTTTTTGTTTAAATATTTTCACTATTTTTTTTTCTGGGGATTTCTGCTTTCTCCACTACTTACTTAAGTTACCTAGTTTGTCCATTTTAATTTTTTTCAAATAACCAAAATACTATTCATAGGCCGGGGATTTAGCTTAGTGGTCCTGCCACCTGCCTCACAAGCTCAAGGTCCCAAGTTCGATCCCCAGTGCCAAAAAAAAAAAAAAATACTATTCATTTATTCTATTTTTCCCTTTACTAAATGTATATTTTTATCCTCACTTCTCCTTTTCTTTTTTCTTGAGTTGAATATTAATTCATTTTTTCTTTCATTTATCAATGTTCCAATATTATAAGCTACATTTTACTCAGAGTTTTTTGTTTTTGTGGCACTGGGGATTGAACTCAGGACCTTGCACTTACAAGACAGGTGCAGTGCCACTGCGCTAACGCCCCAGCCCTACTTACAGTTTTAATTATATCCCACAGATTTGTTATTAATCTTCTTGGGAAGTTCTGATCTTCTTTTTCTTTTGTCCCAAGAGTAGTTTAACAAAGTTTTTCTCTGGATAGAACTTTTTAAAAAACATTTTATTCATTTATTTTATTGCATTGTGATTAAAGGTCTTATTGTTAATTTGTATAAAGTATTGATGTTTTCTTTATGGTACCATAACTGATCAATTTTTTAAAAGAATAGGTGTGTTCTTTTATCAAAGGAGAAAGGTCAATACAAGTGGAGATCAAAGTATACAGTGAATGTTTAAATCTTAAAATTGCAGTAAAAGACACATTGGCATTAATCCCCTTCAAAGTCCTCTGCCTTGCTTAAACACACTTAGCCCATTAATCTTTGCCACTTTTTTTTGGTACTGGGAATCGAACTCAGGACCTTGCACTTGTGAGGCAGGTGCAGTGCCACTGAGCTACATCCCCAGCCCTGTTCTCGCCACTTTCTGAAGCAGTTCTGAAAGTTCTTTTTTGTGCATCTTTACAAGGCCTGATCAAAAATATTGTGAATGCTACTGGCACGTGCTATCCAACAGTGGAAAGGCAGATTCTTAAAAACATTACAATGTGTCCTCATCAACTTTTTTCATCAGATCTGGCACCATGCAATTTCTGATTCTCCCCCAAAGTCAAAATGGTCATGAAAGGTAAATGTTTTCAATTGAGGTAGCGCAACTAAAGACATTTACAAGAGAGAACTTCCAGACAGCTTCAGAAAGTGGCAAGAAAACCAGAATGTGTTTGAATTGAGGGAGAGTATTTTGAGGGGGATTGATGGCAGTGTCTAATTTTTAAAAAAAATTTAAAGTTTTAAAAATCATACTTCATACACATTTAGAAGGTCTATTCTATAGAAACTTATTTAGATCACTTACATCCTTATATAGTTTATGCCTTCAGTCTTGGAGACTCGTGTTAAATTTCTCTATTAATAATTTCTAGCTATCTGCTTTTTCTGGCAGTTATTTCTTATACAAATGTAATATGCTTTGACAAGCTAGAAGGAACATGCCTAAAATAATGAAAAAGGAAGGAGAAAGAGAAAGCACAAAGAACTCTTGGTTGCATAGGCAATAAGTGGGAGTAAGAAATATCATTTAAAAGTGACAAACCACATAGTTCAGGTGGTAACATTCACAACTAGTGTATCTTCGTTGTGAACAGTGGCTTTTGGCACTGTTGTATTTTCCTGAATTCTACCGTCAAAGATACTGTATTCTTTGCATTTTGTGATTTTTATTTTTTTGATATGTTGTTGCTTATCCCTTTATTATTTAGCCTTTATTGTCTCTTATAAATGACAATGTTGGTTTGAAGGCCAATCTGAAATTTTTTTTTTTTTGGTACTAGGGATTGAACTTGGGACCTTGCAGTTTCAAGGAAGGCGGCGGAACCACTAAGCTAAATCCCCAGCCCTGAAATTCTTTTTAATAGACGGATTGTCCTTTCACATTTATCAATTTGACTCATGCTTGCACTTAAGTTCATTATGTGTGATGCTTCATTTACCACATGTTGCTCATGCATGTGATCTACTGCCTTTATTATTGTTTATTGGTCATTGAGGGAGATTTGCATTTTATTTTAGTGATTATACTATTATCCTTATTTATACTGTACTATTACCTTTAATAGTATCAAATACCTTTTAATGCTTAGTTCTCCTTTTTCCATATTTAAGTCTCAACTATTTATCAATTCTAAGTAATATTCTTTGACTCCTACATATTTCTTACACAAGAGCTCTTGCTAATTTCTTCTTTCACTCCCTTCTTCAGTTTCCTAATTGTCTGAGAAAGCAGGTACTACTTGACAATATGTCTACCTTTATTTGCATTAGTCTTAGATACACAACTATCAATATCCAATGATTACCCTGTCCTTTTGTTTAACTTTCTCCAGTGATCTCAATAGATGAAGCCTGTCTTTCAGTAGAATCCTGTTTGGTTTAGATCTAGGTTGTTGCCCAAAAGTTTCATGTGTTCAGAGATTGGGCTTTGGGATGGTGATCAGCTTTTGGATGGATCAGTCCACTGATGAGCTTATGGTTGAATGTGCTGTTACAAGAGATCCTGATTAGAGGCTTGGGGGTGTGACATGGAAGGGTGCATCTTCCTGACTTCTCTCTTCTCTCTGCTTCCTGGCCACCTTGACGTGAGCAGCTTTCCTCTGCAGCAGGCCCTTCCACCATGAGCCAGCCAACCATGGACTGAAACGTCTAAAACTGTTAGCCAAAACAAATCTCTCTTCAAGTTGTGGGGTTTCAAGTATTTTGCCTCAGCAATAAAAAACTAACTAAGAGACTGTGACTATAACATTCCCTGAGCTCTTGCACTATTAAACTTCCTTCTATATCCTTGATACTTAAAGGATAGCTTAGCTGGATACAAAATCCTTAGTTCATACTCCAAATTTCTGCTCTACTGCTATCTCAATTTTTCAAGAAGTCTTATGCCAACTTGACCTTTCTTCCTTTATAGGAGACTAGATATTCTGGCCTAGAGACTAAGATAATTTTTCCTTTACTTTCAAAGTATAATAGTTTCCCAAGTATCAAAATAAATCTTTTAAAGATAGTTTCAGGTGTTTTTTTGCACAGAGTTTTAAACACTAACCCTGTTTCACTGTCTATCTTTTGTCTTCAGGAGTTCCACTGTCACCAGTGTTATCTTTTCTTTGCCTATTTCTTATTCCTGCCTTCCTTGTGCCTAACTATACTGCAGCCCTATCTATTCTCATTTGGATATAATTTAGTCTTCATACCTGTCATGATTTTATCTTTTTGTTCAAATTCTTTCCTAAGTTTGATCAGTTCTCTTTTCATATATGCTTACTGCTATTTCATTTGATTATGAGTTTTTGAACTTCTGACCTATGGTGTTCTTTCATATCCACAACTATTTGATTTATTTTAAAATTCGAGCTGGAGAGCTATGCTACAATTTAATTTTTCATGGTCCAAGAGAGCCCTTTCTTGTTGGTCAATGGTATAAATTCCTTTAACAAGTAATGTCCAGGAGGTGATAAGTTGTTTTCTTTTGAATTTTGGACTTCCTGTTTTATGTGGTAGGCTGTCCTCTTTGGCTTCTTGCTTCCTCTTCCCTCTTTCATCCACCGAACCTCCAAGGGACACCACTCCCTCTCAAGATGGCTTCATCACTATCAGAAGTGATACTTTGGTCCAACTCATTGTCTAAACCTTTCTTTTTCACTGGCCACTGCTCTGATCCAACAGGTCCCAGACCTGTCTGCACCATCTTGCCCTCCTGAGCTAGACTACAAATAGTTTGATTTAATTAGAATTTCAAGTTCAGTGAGGGCCTGAGGCAGAAGCAACATCTGGAGGATTCTGCCTCCACAGAGGACTCTCTATGGAAGCTTTTGCAGAAATGCGAGCAAGGAAGAAAGAGGTATGAACCAGAAGGGGAGGGCTAAGAGGAAGGAATGAAGAACTCATCAGGATCTATACAAACATAGGAAGCCAATTAAAACTAAGAATCACAACTTTTCAGCTGATAAAAGGACTCCAAGATAAAAACAGAAACCTAGAACTTAGGAAATTCTCCCAGAGAAATGACACAATTTCATCTATAAGTGAATTGCAGAGAGCAAGAAAAGCCCTAAATGGTGGCACCTGGGGATGGCACAGGCTGTCTGTGGGCAGAGCTGAGGGTGGGCAAGAGGGCATGGTGGTGACTGTGAGTTGCACCGGGTGGATGTGGGGAGGGGACAGTGATCAAGAAGGGAAGGAAGAAAGGTGCTACAAATGGAGAAGCTGAGAGCATAGAGGGGAGCACAGGCAGACAGGAGAGGACCTGGGAGAGCGCTTCACACAGTGAAATGAGGAGGGGAGAAATGGCTGGGAGGGCCAAGTGTGGGGTAGAAGTGACTGAAGGGTCTAGGTTGTGAGAGAAGTTGGAGCAGTGTCAAGGTAATGTGTGAATGAAGTGGCTAGGGTTCAGGGCTTGGAAATGAATGGCCAGAGAGTCGGGGATGAGGCCAGGGGCTGGGGGAGGGCATTGTCTCCCCCATTCTGCTGATTGTGGTCCAAGATCAGCTTTCATTCTGCCTTTGAAATGGGAAAAGTTACAATTTTTAGTGGACATAGCCCAGTCTTGGAGTTATCCTGCTTCCTGAGATAACAGACAGGAGGGAAGAGATGGTCACCTGTCCCAGGGCTAAGAGAGACCAGGTGTCTTTAGGGAGATGTGCTGAGGCTGGATGTAGGATGGCCCTGGACAGGGCAGGAGCACACTGATAAGTCCACATGGGTGGGCATGGGTGCTCAGGACAGGAGAGGAATGCCTGCTGCTCAGGGATGCATCTCCACTCCGGATCACTGAGTCTGGGCAGGCAGCGGTGCTTGGGCCTGCAGACTTCATTCCAGAGGGCCTCGGGTCTGGGACAAAATTTTCTGCTCAAGGTTGGCATACCGAGGGAGGAGGGCCTCATAGACCTGCAGGGGAGGCAGAATTGGCAGCTTAGAATGGGGACTGGAGGGTGCCCCCATTACAACTTGTAATTTAAAATTTTTGAATTTCATTTATTTGCAATTTAACTCTTTTCCCCCTGGGCAAAGGAAAGAAACACTCAATTCACAAAAGAGGAAATACTAGATGGAGGTATGGTGATGCACACTTATACTCGCAGCTACTCAGAAGGCTGAGGTAGGAGGATCATAGTTCAAGGCCAGCCTGGGCAACTTAGTGAGATTCTGTCTCAAAATAAAAGAAGGGCTAGGGTATGGTCTCAAGGTGTATCTATTTAGCCATAAATGTCTCAAGCTCATCCTTCTTTATGGCACAGTAGTACTCCATTGTATCCATTGTATTAAAAAACCACTTTTTCTTTATCCATTGGTCAGTTGATGGGCATTTGGGCTGTTTCCAAGATTTAGCTATTACAAATTGTTAGGCTTGAACTTTCCATACTCCTGCTTCAGCCTCCCAAAGTGCTAGGATAGTTCACCACTATTTCCAGCTGATTTTTTTGATTTTTATGGTTTTCATGTGTTTGTGTTGAGGATTGAACCTAGGGCCTCACGCATGCTAGGCAAGCACTGTACCCGATCTGTACCTCCAGCCCTAGATTTTTTTTCATACTGTAAATTTTGACAATAAGTTTTTTGACAAAAAAGTTTTTGTTATCAAATATACGAAAGTTTAAAAAATTCTGGTCAGAGTACCTAGAAATGGCTGTGTCACTGCACGGCTGGTGAAAGTTGATGGTACAACCCTTTTGCAAGTCAGCTTGACTTTATTTCTGTATCAAAGGATCCATAGCCTGTGACACAGTTATTCTACTTCTGTGAAAATCTTCCTCCTAAGGAAATAATCCTAAATGCAAGGTCCCAAGCTCACCAGGGGCCTTCATAAACCCATTAAATATTCAGACTTATGAGGTATGATTGAAAAATATGGTGAATCTTTAAAGTTTTAAAATTCATTACAGTAAATTATTATAGTGTCATCAATTGTGTTATTATGGTTGCCTTGATGTCCAGAATTGACTAAAAATGTTTCCCTTTCACAGTCATTTTGACTGTAGGGAAGAGCCAGAATTCACACAGTGCCTAATCCAGTAAATAAGATGGGTGAGGACACACTGTGATGTTTTTACAAGCCTGCCTTCCCACTGGATGGCACTTGGCAGAAGCATGCACTGTTATTTATTTATTTTTTTTGGTACCAGGGCTTGAACTCAGGACATTGTGCTTGCAAGGCAGGTGGTGGAACCACTGAGCTAAATCCCCGGCCCCATGCACTGTATTTTTTATCAGACCCCATAAAGACACTCACAAGAGAGACTTTTAGAACTGTTTCAGAAAGTGGCAAGAATGTTGGAATAAGTGTGTTTGAAGTGAAGGGGAATATTTTGAGGGAGACTAATGGCAATGTGTCATTTACTATAACAAATTTTAAAACATTCACCATATTTTGATCACCTCTCGTACAACCCTGCCACGGGCTACACCTGGGCACACAGAATGGCAGACAGGAGAAAGCTCCAGCAACCCTTCTCTCCAACAGGAGACCAAGCACAGTCCATACAGCAGGTCACACAGCTGTCCAGAAGTCCAGAGGAGGGTCTCTTCCTTCCCATCTCCGCCCTCTCCAAATGACAACTCAGACACCTTTTGAAGACAGCTGTGTGAGGCATGATGTTTGGAGCTGCTACAAGTATTCTAGGATCACCCAGAGCACAGCCAGAGCTGCACTGACTGATACAGCAGCCAGCCATGAAATGCCTGTGACTATAAATACCAAAAGCTTCATACACAAGAGAATGTTAAATACCACATTAATAATATTTCTAATTGATTACCTGCTGAAATGAAAATAGTTTGGATACACTGGGTTAAATAAGATATTCCTAAAGTTAATTTTACTTGGTTCTTTTTTTACTTTTGAAAAATGAGACTACCAGAAAATTTACAATGCCATTTGTGCTCAAATGTTCTCATTGTCCACTGCTGACCCGAGGAACCATAGAGAACATGACCACAGGCCTGAGGCTGAACTATTGGCCAACACTACCTTTGGACTTCCTGTTAAAGTCAGCATCATCTGTGAGTTCAAGCTGATAATCCAGCTCTCGTGCTCCATTTTTTTTGATAATGTCAAATAGGATATCCCTTTTAGTTGAACATGTCAATTTTTTTTTTTTTTTGGTACCGGGGATTGAACTCAGGACCTTGTACTTGCGAAGTAGGCGGCAGAACCACTGAGCTAAATCCCCAGCCTGAGCATGTCAATTTTAATGTAGGTGACAAAGAAAAACTTACTTTTTTGTGAAAAGATCCTAGTCAGCTTTTATAATGCAAATGGTATGGTAAACTCTGATGGTTGCTCACCTGAGAAGCTTCTGGAGTTGACCTGGCAGCCAGTCTGGGATTTGGGGCTGATTTCACAACCTCGGAAAAGGCCACGTCTGTTCCACCTGCAAGGCCTAGAAGGGAAAGGTCATTTCATATCTGTGCATGTTGCAGATTAAGTGGTTAATAGTAGACAGCACAAAGGATCACAGTGGGTGATAAAATGTTCTAAAACCAGGTACTGGGGTGAAGCTCAGTCAAGGCCTTGGATTCCATCTCCAGCATAAAAAAAACAGTTCCAAAGCCTAATTATGGTAGTGGTTACACAGCTTAGCAAATTCACTAAAGATCACTATATATATACATATCCTCAATACAACTGTTTTAAAAAGAGAAATTTCAAGTGCTGGCTTCTCTTTGGCAAGAGCCTAGTCTGTCTTGCTCCTTGTGATCATGTCTTCCATGGACAGGGTCCACTAACTCTGACATATGTGCAGGGCGGGGTGGGGGGGCTGCCTATCCTCCCTCATGTCCCTCTGCTTGCCTGGCCCTCACTATCTTCTAGCCACCCAAGTCTTCTTTCAACACGTTCTGCCTTACAGCTTCTTCACTGTGGGGCATTTTCTTCCCACTCTTCATGCACCTTCTCTCGGCCGCTAAAGTGAGTGGCAGCTAAGAACATCCCTAGTTTGGGAGGCCCTCTGTCATTTTCCACCCCCAAAAACCCTCTGTTTAACTCAGAACACTTTTCACAATTTGTGGCCACATACTTAGGTGATCCTTTGCTGAAGTTCCCTCCTTTGCCAAGCTGTAAATTCCACAAGCCAGAGATGGTAGCTGTCTGGGTCACCAGCACAGCCCTGGTGCCTGGCACACTAATTGGCATACAGGAGGCACTCAATAGCCACTTGCCAAGCAAATGAGGAAAGAAGGAAGGCTGCCGGATGTGCCCAGGAAACAGTGGTGTATCTGTAGGCAATCTAAGCTGGAATGTCAGAGTAACACAACACCACCAAGAGGGAAGAAGGTCCCTGCAATTTGAGGACATATGCTAGAAAACCCCAGCTCTGAGCAGTACAGGAAAAGAGGTGGGGTGGCCAGCTAAGAAATGAATCAAGACTCTGTTCCCATCCCCACTCTCATTAACAGACTACTGCATACCAGTGGGGAAGAAGAGAGCCTCCAACAGAGTGGCTAACATGCCTCTGGGTGGGGCTGATAAGCTAGGTCATGGTTTTGGAAGGCAGAGCAAGGCAGGACCCACAGTACCGCTTGGCAACTCAATGAGCATAGAAAGGAAAAACAAGAATAAGACACAGCACAGCAGAGCAGTGAGGTCCCTAAATTCTTTCCCACTAGTGCAGAAGGAAGAGTATAAAGTATATCCCCACCTTTTATCAGGTTACACCAAAGGCTAGCCTCTGCAACAATATTTTCAAAGTTCTCATGAAAAGCACTCTGAACTCAGCCCTTTACCCAGGTATTCTTTGGGGTGGTGCAACAAAGACTTTGTTGGACACATCAGGCCTCAAAATCATCATTTGCTGAACTTGAATTCCCTCTTAAATATTTATTTAGGTTGTACAGGCTGATGAAACTAGCACAGAGGGCTAGGGGTGTGGCTCAGTGATAGAGCACTTGCCTACTGTGTGCAAAGCTGGGTTCAATCTCCAACATCAAAAACAAATAAAAATCCTAGCATTGAAACAAAGGACAAAGAAACTGCAGGGAGTTAAAGTCAGGCATGGTTGTGCACACCTGTACCCCAGCACTCTGGGATGATGAGGCAGGACCATCACAAGTTTGAGCTGAGCTTCCAAAGGCCATGGGTTTAATCCATAGTACAAGGAAGGAAGGAAAGAAGGAAGGAAGAAGGAAGGAAGGAAGGAAGGAAGGAAGGAAGGAAGGAAGGAATAGATAGGTGAAACCACAGAGAGTTGAAAAACTAAAGCCAAAATGTGGTTTAAAACAACAACCTGGAAATATATTCCCCAGTGATCTAGATACGGGAATGGCATGAAGTGGGGGAAGGGTATATGGAGTGAGTAGTAGGGGAATGAAAGGCTAATTATTAAAAGAAGTTTATGCTCTCTGATGAATCTGCAACACAAAGAAAAATATATTTAAGTAGTAAGCTGGACAGTGAAGAGTAAACATGCAAAAAATGGAACCATAAGAGGGAAGGACAAAGCCCTTGAGGCACAAGGTTGCCCAGGGCTCCGGAGCAGCAGAGAAGAGGGCAAACAGCCCCAACTGAGGAGGCTCGGCCTTGTGGGCTTGCACTGCTCCCTGGACAATGCATCTGGATGGGGCTGCTTCCTGAGGGCCTGGAGTTTCTGCCAGGCCTCAGCCATAGCCTGGGACCTTCTTGGAGCTGGCCAGGGTCCTGGACTGCTTGGTTTTTGAAGCCTCTTTGTCTCAATTTCCTGTTCTTGCTGAAAACACAGTTCTGGACTTCATCTACCTCTTCTGCTCAACACCCAGCCAGACCCACACCCATATGCCCTCAAGCACACCCCTCCCAGCATCTCTCTGCAGAGTGTGACTCTGACCAGACTTCAGTCAGTCTAGTCTGTCTCCTTTCCTCCACTTTAAGTAGAAAATAAAGGACAGAGGGTTATGCATGGTTCTTGCCTGCTAGGAGGATAAAATGAGGCTAATGGCCCAAGTCTCCAATGTCCCAAAGACTACAAACTTCCCTTTCCACCCTCTTAAATCCAGCCAATGTCCCAGCCACTTCCAGCAACTGCTATGCCCCATCCACCAACTTACCATGAAAAGCTCGGTATGCAGAGCCCACACAGGCAGAATTGGCAGTGTCTATGACATACACAGGGGCACCGAACACATCTGCAAGCACCTGGGAAGGACACAGGTTTTACTGTAGTAAAGTCATTGCACAGACGGAACACGGACATTCTGAGATGTACTTCCCAGGCTCACCTTCCTCATGTCTTATGATTCCTCCCATTCAACCTCTGCTGCCTCAGAGGACATATATTTGGGGTGTAGCTAAGTGGCAATATGCTCACTTAGCATTCACAAGCGCCTGGGTTTGGTTCCTAGCACCAAAAAAGTATACTTGGCTATGGCAGGCTGACCTGGAGGAAGTTCCTAGTAAAGGCCACAGTTCTATGCCCCACTGACTTACAGCTGAGGACAACTAGGCATGAGACTAACATTAACAAGCCCAAAGGGATTAAACAGGGCATGTTTTATGGGGATTATGATGAAACCTTCCACTTAAGAAAAAAAAAAAGAAATTGCATTAATTTAAAAGGATGACACGTACGAAAAGTCCCATTTCAGGTTCTGCTGGTAGAGAATCTTACTTAAAGACAGGCATATCACAACTCAGCATTTTTTTTTTCAGGACCTTGCGCTTGCCAGGCAGGTGTGGCGCTACTGAGCTACATCCCTGGTCCTGTTTTTGTTTTTTTTGAGGCAGGTCTTGCCATGGCATGTAATTCAGACTAGCCTTGAACTTACTAGGTAGCCCAGGCTGGCCTCGAACTTGGGGAAATTTTCCTGCCTCCGCCTCCCAAGTGCTGGAATTACAGCCTAAAAGGACCTGATGGCCCCACGATGTGAGAGCCTGTGTGTCAGATGTCTGGGGGTCGACTCCACTTTCGATGAAATATCTCTAGCATAATAAAGAAACAGAAGGGCAGAGACCAGTCTGGCAGCTATGTTACAAGAGGAATGGGTGGAGAAACAGAAAGCTAAACTGGGAAAGAGAAGCCTTGAAGGACAAGAACACAGTATCAGATGTCAGAAGGTTCACCATGGTGACAGGCACTTCTCAAGTGACTGCAGAGCCAGTGCTGCTCTCAGAGAGTACTGCACAGGGAAGCAGAGCCCAACTGCATGTGCAACAGAACATGCTCATGGGGGAGCCCAGGCAATGAAGCTTTGTCCTGGAGTGTGAGCCACAGCTCCATTCCTGAGGGGTGGGAATGGAGCCTGTCCTTCCTGTTGCACAGAACAGACACGGAGAGGTAGCGGGCCCTGCCACTGCCCACCTGTAAGATGTCTCGGTTGCAAGATGCTCCTCCAGTGGCCAGAATCTTTGTCTTGGGCACTACAAGGGAAAAGAAAGAAAAGGCATGGCAGTGGGTCCCCCAGGCGGCAAGGGCTGTTCCCAGTGCTCTTCAGGTACCTGGGGCTCATGGTGGGCCTGTGCCTCCTGCTTCCCACCAGGCCTGGCTCTGTCTGTGCAGGATAGTCTCATAGCGTGTCTGTGAGGTGGCTGCCCATCTCCCTCTGCTGTCTTAGTATTACTTTTTTAAAAATCTCCCAACAAACCAAAAAGAGAAAGGAATTTCCTTAGACTGATAAAGGGCATACATACAAAATTTACAACAAATATTATTATTGCCATTGTTATTGTTATTATATATATA